TTATTTAATTCCCAACCCCAGCCCATCTACCCAGCCCACTCTAATTTCTAATTTCTTAATAACCCATCCCCAGCCCATCGACCCTTTGGCCTATAATTCTAATTCCCAGCCCCAGCCCCAACGCCCAAAAATTTTCAGTTTGCACTTTGCAGTGCACTGGAGTTATTTGGTGTTTTAGCCTATACTTTAATTAATAACTCAATTCTCTATTCTTTATAGTTCGGAGCAGATTCTTTCACAATTCACAGTAAAAGTTTCAGTTGTGCATGTGCACTGTTAGCATTGATTATTCAGCGATTATTAAACCGAAACCGTACCGAAACCATACCGAACCAAATTAAGAAATACTAAACCGTACCGAAATATTTTGGTATGGTATTTGGTATATACAATTAATAAATCGAATACCGAAATACCGAACCGAAATTCTTAAATACCGAACCGAAATACCGAATGCCCACCCCTAAACAATCATGTTATGGCCATTATAACTAGAAGTGGGGGAAGCGGTGATGTGAATGCCTCTAGGCAAAAGCAAGTTGTGGATGATGATGTTGAGTTGCAAGATGATGAAGTACCTTTGGTAGTTGAAGATGTGGTTGAAGAAAGTGAACAATGAAGTGAGGATTGACATTAATGAGGCCGAGGTGGAAACTCAAGATGCCGTGAACCCGTCTAGGGAACACGTGATTGACATGCCCGAGTCGGTGATGCCCAAAGCCAAGGCACCTTTTCCAAGACCACCTCGCTTTATCCTCAAAGGCTAGCAAAGCAGAAAAATGATAATCAGTTCAAAAAGTTCATTGACATGATGAAGAGCTTATCTATTAATGTGCCATTGGTGGAGGCACTTGAACAAATGTCGGGCTATGCAAAATTCATGAAAGACTTGGTCACAAAGAAGCGTTCTATGGATTGTGAAACTATAAAGATGACTCACCAAGTTAGTGCTATAGTGCATTCAATGGCCCTGAAGCTTGAAGATCCCGGTGCTTTCACCATTCCTTGCACCATTGGGAGTGCGAATTTTGCCAAGGCTCTATATGATTTGGGAGCTAGTATCAATTTGATGCCTTACTCAGTTTTCAAAACTTTGGATATTGGGAAACCTAGACCGACTTCCATGAGGTTACAAATGGCGGATCGATCGATGAAGCGACCTTTGGGCATTATTGATGACGTGCTTGTCTGGGTGGACAAATTCATATTGCCGGCTGACTTTGTAATTTTAGACTGTGAAGTGGACTATGAGGTCCCAATCATTCTAGGGAGGCCTTTCCTTGCGACGGGGAAGGCATTGGTTCATGTTGAAGTGGGTGAGCTCACTTTCCGAGTGGGAGATGAAAAGGTCGTCTTTCATGTTTACAAATCTATGAAGCAGCCCAATAGCACTGAGGTGTGCTCATTTGTAGACCTTGTCATAGCTGTGATTGTGGATGACACCAGTGCTATGATCAATGTGGAGGACCCCCTTGAGGCCGTGCTATTAAATCTTGATGTCAATGATGATGCAAGCAGAGTGGAGTGTGTGAATGCTTTACATGGGATGGGCTCCTATCCCTATGAGCCTAGAAAATTGTCTTTGGATCTTGAAAACCGGAAAACTCCACCAACAAAACCATCAATTAAGGAGCCACCAGTGTTGAAGTTGAAACCACTGCCTCCGCACCTCAGGTATGAGTTCTTGGGCTCAAACTCTACTTTACCAGTTATTATTTCTTCTTGCCTTACTAACATGCAGGTTGAGGCCACTTTGGCGGTGCTTCAAAAGCGAAAAAGGGCAATTGGATGGACTTTGGCTGATATTCGGGGAATAAGCCCCGCATTCTGTATGCAAAAAATTATCTTGGAGGATGATGCAAAGCCTTCCTTGGAGCATCAAAGAAGATTGAACGAGGCAATGCAAGAAGTGATGAAGAAACAAGTGATCAAGTGGTTAGATGTCGGTGTTGTGTACCCCATTTTCGATAGCTCATGGACTTCTCCGGTGCAATGTGTACCGAAAAAGGGTGGTATGATTGTGGTAACGAATGACAACAATGAACTTACTCCCACTCGGACACTTACCGGATGGAGGGTATGTATGGACTACCGGAAGCTAAACAAGGTGACCCGAAAGGATCATTTCTCATTGCCATTCCTTAACCAAATGCTTGATCATCTTGCGGGGCGTGCTTTTTATTGCTTTTTGGATGGATACTCGGGGTATAATCAAATCTTAATTACCCCGGATGACCAGGATAAGACCACCTTTACCTGTCCGTATGGAACCTTCGCTTTCTCTCGGATGTCGTTCAGGTTGTGTAATGCCCCGGCGACATTCCAACAATGCATGATGGCTATTTTCACCGACATGGTGAAAGATATTTTGGAGGTCTTCATGGACGATTTCAGTGTGGTTGGAGATTCATTTGAAGAGTGTTTGGGAAATTTGGATAGAGTTTTGGCCCGATGTGAAGACACAAATCTCATATTTAATTGGGAAAAATATCACTTCATGGTGGAGGAAGGCATAGTGTCGGGCCACAAGATTTCAAAGCATGGGATTGAAGTTGACAAGGACAAGATAGAGGTGATTTCAAGGCTTCCTCCCCCTATTTCCGTCAAGGGGGTGAGAAGTTTTCTTGGGCACGCAGGGTTCTACCGGAGGTTTATAAAAGATTTTTCAAAGGTGGTAAACCCCTTGTGCAAGCTACTAGAAAAGGATGCAAAGTTTGTGTTCGATGAGGGATGTATGCAAGCATTTGAGCTTCTCAAGCTTAAGTTGACCACTACCCCAATCATTACCGCACCAAATTAGAGCTTGCCTTTCGAGCTCATGTGTTATGCAAGTGACGTTGCGGTTGGGGCTGTCTTGGGTCAAAAGGTTAACAAGATGTTTCATCTGGTGTACTACGCAAGCAAGACCATGAATGGGGCTCAAAGGAACTACATGGTTACCGAAAAAGAGTTGTTGGTCATAGTGTTTGCAATGGAAAAGTTCCGACCGTATCTCATGGGGGCCAAGGTCATAGTGCACACCGATCATGCCGCCCTTAAGTACTTGATGACAAAGAAAGACTCCAAGGCAAGATTGATGCGATGGGCGTTACTACTTCAAGAGTTTGATCTAGAAATTGTGGACCGGAAAGGTAGTGAGAACCAAGTGGCGGACCACTTGTCCCATTTGGAGGAGGAGGCCTAGTGATGGCCTAGAGATCAATGATTCATTTCCCGATGAACAACTCCTTGCGGTGTCGGTAAATGATATGCCATGGTTTGTCGATGTTGTTAATTACCTTGTGACCGGAATAATCCCGTGTGAGCTCTCTTCTAACCAAAGGAAGAAGCTCAAGTGGGATAGTTTGGATTTTTATTGGGATGAGCCATACTTGTTCAAGATTTGCACGGATGGTGTGATCCGAAGGTGTGTCCCGGAGGAAGAGCAATTGAATATCTTGGAGGCTTGTCATTCTTCACCCTATGGTGGCCATCACGGTGGGGTGAGTACCGCCTCGAAAGTTCTTAGTTGTGGGTTCTATTGGTCATCCTTGTTCAAAGATGTGGGTGATTTTCTGAAGAGGTGTGACGAATGCCAAAGAGCGGGTGGAATTTCTAAAAAGGATGAGATGCCTATCAATACCATTCTTGAAGTGGATATCTTTGATGTTTGGGGCATCGATTTCAGGGGTCCATTTGTTAGTTCTAGCGGGAATACTTACATTCTCGTGGCGGTTGACTATGTCTCAAAATGGGTTGAAGCCGTGGCTTTGCCTAACAATGAAGCCCGGAGTGTTGTTGCATTTCTTAAGAAGAGCATTTTCACAAGGTTTGGCACTCCTCGTGCGATTATCAGTGATGGGGGGTCTCACTTTTGCAATAAAGCTTTCGACATGTTGTTTTCTAAGCACGGTGTCAATCACAAAGTTTCTACCCTCTATCATCCTCAAGCAAGTGGTCAAGTGGAAGTCTCTGTAGATATGTGATTTTTGACCCTCCCCAAGATTTTTCATATTTTAGCACGTAAATATTTAATTTAGGCATAATATAGCTATTTCAACTCATTTTAACTCTTTTACTTATTTTATTACAAGAAAAATAAAAATTACAAAAATATAGTTGTTTCTAGTCATTTTAATCTTGAAAAAATACCAAAAAGAAAACAGTTTCATTTATTGTTTATCTCTAATAGTTAATTTAATTAATTAGGAGTAATCTTACATTTTTATAAATGCTTTATACTATTCTAAATAAGGAAAACTTAGGTCCTTAGTTAATGAAATCCAGATTTTTCTAAGAAGCTCAATTGTTAGTTAATTCAAGACAATTTTAGCTCAATTTTGGGCAAGAAGATGGCCCAATTTCGGACTAGCCCTTGAGCCCAAACCCCCCATTGCCCCAAATTAACCCTTGGCCCAACACCTCTTCCCTTTAATTGAACCCTAGACATATACATATAAAGGGAAATGAGCTGAAAATAAAGGAGACCTTAGACCTACATAGCTAACGCCTAAAGACCTAGACAAAAAAGCTAAATCCCATCCGCTGCTGATACTCAAAAAACAC